CCAACAAACCAGGAGCCCAACAAACCAGAAGCCCAACAAACCAGGAGCCCAACAAACCAGGAGCCCAACAAACCAGAAGCCCAACAAACCAGGACCCCAACAAACCAGGACCCCAACAAACCAGGACCCCAACAAACCAGGACCCCAACAAACCAGGAGCCCAACAAACCAGGAGCCCAACAAACCAGAAGCCCAACAAACCAGGACCCCAACAAACCAGGAGCCCAACAAACCAGAAGCCCAACAAACCGGGAAACAAACAAACCAGGAGCCTTTAGCTTCATCTAAATCACAGGAGTCACAGAGGGATGACAGAGGAACCAGCAGAACTACAAACCTACAGATAAAGACGACACAACGGAACACGAAACGGCCAAATCAAGAATCAGTCGTCACAAACTGCAATGAAAAGGCCAAAAGACTATTTTCATCAAGACGAAGAACAAACGTCCAGAAGACACATGAACTCAGCAGAAAGACATGAAAGAGAATCACAGAGAAACCACGACATGACGGAGAGGCTCCGGTCCACCACAGAACCACACAAACCATCACAAAGTCACAAACAGCCTCAAAGACACACACGGCGCCGACGAGTCCGACAGAGGATCCTCTGGGGACCGTGAGCGTACGCCTTACAGAACCCAACACTGCTGGGAATCAGCTTCGTGTCCAGGTGCATGCTGGGAACAGAGTCCCTCGGCAGGTCGGATCCTGAGCCGACCCAGTTCTGGTGCTTCATACGTCCGTGTTTCAGCGCCCCACATTCCTGCAGCTCTGACCTGGATACCGAGCAGGACGAGCGCTGACTGTCGCTGAACCATCAGCTGAGTTTGTCTCTGATCAGAACAGCTGACGTGTTGGATCCAAACTTCAGCTGCAGCAATCAGCTCAGCGACTCCTGACCAGGACCAGTATCGGCCTACCAGACCAGTGCTACATCCCTCCACACAAACATCTGGTCCTGGATCAGACTTCATTCAGGTCTCCCCTGATTGCAGGCAACACTTTCCTTCTGTCTAGTTCCTGTACGGCTCGAGCACTGAGCTGCAGTAAATGTGATAAAACGTCACAGCGATGATCAGATCACTGCCGGACACCTGGACGTCTGAGGACTGGTTCTGTCTGAACAGCTGCTGGCCGACGAGGGGAGCCATGGAGACAACATGAGGTCAGAGCCAGCAGCAGGTTTCAGGGTCTAAACACCTCCTCAAACATGAACCTCAGCTGAAACGAAACCAATGAGTTAAGATCAATAATGACCCTCAGTCAACGTGCACAACACACACACACACACACACAC